GACATGAAGTTTGATCCTTAGGGGGTTAATTAGGCTGAATCTCTGAATCATTTATTTCCCTGGACACATTACTAGTGGCATAGTGTTTAGTTTGACATCTATGACTAGGAAGGCATTACCAATATGCTAGGGGCAATAGGCATGTGTAGCCACTGTCACTCCTCATTATACGTCTTAATTTAATATTTTGAATAAGCTTTTCAAATAATTTAATATTTTTGAATAAACTATTTAAATTCTTATTTTTTTCAAAATATTAAAACGTGAAAAATGTATCATATATAAAATAATATATATATATATATATTTTTATATATATATATATATATATATATATATAAAATCTTTATCTATATCAAAATATTGTTCTAAATATTAATTATTTTTTTTTGACAATCTTTATTTAGTATCTTTTTCATTTGAAGAAACCAGTAACAGTCAGTAACTTTACATTGGGTCTGTATTAGTGTCAACATCTGAATAATGCAAAGAAGAGGGGAAAGGGGAACTGTGCTGCTAACCAATGCATTTCTAACAGTTGGCTCTATCCATTGTACCAGCCTGTGTTCAGGCCTGCGGCTGCAGCCTATTCGGGTAGCTAGGAAGGGTATAACCTGACCTCTGTTGTATTGGAGTTTTTTTTTTTTTGTCGTCTCCCCACCGTTTTTTCCCGGTTGCGCCCTAGTCTACTGTGGTAGGTGACTGTGCGTTGGTTCTCCACTTGTTTGTTAGTTGTTGCCACGAACTTGTTTTTATTTTTACGTGCCCTTGTATTGTCAAGATCAGGTGTACTACTGTGGCGGTTGCGGTATGCGATCTACAGTCATAGTGTGCTTCTTGGGAGTCTATGCTCCACAGTTCGTGGTCATTTGGCTTTTTTCACAGATAGTTCACCATTGTGGGGCCTACGGGCTAGGGTAGGCTGGGCTTGTCGGTCACGGGGGATATGTCCGGGTGTCTGTCAGTACCGCAGAGCGGTGGGTTGCTGGAGACTATGCGTTTGTTTCAGGTCTAGTCAGGTTTCCGTTCTAGGGGCTATTCCGTGTTGCCGCTATTTCTCTCTAGCTTCTGTTTAAGCTGGGGTCTGGGCTTATGACTCTCATGCTGGTGCGCTGTCTTATTTCAGTGTTGTAAGGGTGGGTAGCGAGTTTCTGTCTAGTTTTATCCAACTGTTGAGAGCTTTCCGTCCTATCCAGGGACAGGACGTGTCCCTAATGAGGGTCTGTCCAATATATATTTCCCTCTACTGTCTGTGTCGGTCGTCAGGGGGCAGTCCGAGGTCCGGTCTTAAGGTTGGGAGGGGTGGGGGAAGTCGACACAGGGGGTAAGGGTTAGGTGGGGTGTTTAGATATGTGTGCTCTGGACTTCAGCGGGCCCCTGTGGTGTTGTGTTCGGGGATGCTAATCTTTTGGCTAGGTAAGTAGCCCATGGGTACCAGGTCAATGCACACTGCTCCTGTCTCCCATGGAGATCTGCGGTTAAAGTTTCCATTGAGCGTATTTCTTCCACCTTTGTCACCCATTGCTGGAGGGTGGGTGCTCCCTTCTGCTTCCAGATAACAGGGATAAGGGACTTTGCTGCATTGAGTAGTGGTAGTGTTAGGGACTTCTTATATGCCTTCATGGGGGTGGGGGTGTGGTGTAGTAGCATCTTTAGGGGTTTTAGAGGCAACTCTAAGCCTGTGACTTCTTGTATCTCCCCCCTGATTTTCTCCCAGTATGGGGCGATTACGGGGCATGTCCACCACATGTGGAAGTATGTGCCAGGGTGCGTGCCACATCTCCAGCATGTGTCCGGTGTGTTCTCTTGCATGCGGTGTAGAGTGTCGGGTGTTCTGTACCATCGAGTTAATATTTTGTAGTTCAGTTCTTGGAACTTCGAACTAATAGAGCATTTGTGTGTGAGGGTGTAGATCTTGTCCCATTCCTGTGCAGAAAGGGACTCCTCGGTGTCTTTCTCCCAGTGGTCCTTGAATCGGAGCACCACTTCCCCACTGGTCTGGTTCTGGAGTGTGGCGTATAGGGTCGACATGCCCCTGGCAATGTGAGTGCGGTGTACGCACAGGAGTTCAAAGCTGGTGAGGGGTCTGAGCAGGTGTCCACGTCCCGGTAGGGATTGGAAGTATGTTTTTATCTGGTGGTAGCGAAACTGTTCGAGCAGCGTTGGCGGTCTGTCTGGGCAGAGGTCCCTGAGAGGTTTAAGTCCTTGTGGGCCAAACTATTGGTGCAGATACATCCAGTCGGACGGTTGGAGGCCGTATAGCTCGTTATGGGTTAGGGCATCTGCCAGGTCTGGGTTGTGCGTGATGGGCGTTAGGGGGCTGGGTGAGGTGGTAAGCTGTAGTCGGTAGCGTGTAGCTATCCACACTCTCAGTGTGGCATCGATCGGAGGGTTTTTGGTGTGTAAGTCTGTGTACGTGGCGGTGTGCAGCCACAGTCTGGAGGGTATTGTCCTCTCTGTCTGCTCTAGTTCCAGGGTCACCCACTGTTTCAAATGATGTTGCACGTGCCAGTCCGTTATTCTATGCAAATGTGTGGCGCGGTAGTACGTCTCTATGGAGGGTAATCCTGTTCCCCCCATCAGTTTAGGCAGCTCTAGGGTGTTTTTTTCGTGCGGGTGGGGCGAGAGTTCCATACAAACAGGCGAATGGCGGTCGTTATGGAGCTGAAGAAGGCTCTGGGCACCGTGATCGACACTGTCTGGAACAGATAGAGTATTCTGGGCAGCACATTCATTTTGACTACATTAATACACCCAAACCACGAAATGTAGTATGGGGACCATTTTTTAAGGTCTGCCTGCAGAGACTGAAGTAGCGGGAGATAGTTATGGTGATATAGTTGAGACGGGTCCTTGGGTAACCATATACCCAAATATTTCAGTTTGGTGTTGCACCACTTGAATCGGTACTGGGTAAAGAGGTGTGTTGGGGAGTCTTTGAGGGGTGGTGGGTGGAGGGCCTCAGACTTATCTGTGTTGAGCTTAAGGTTAGAAATCGCTCCAAACTCTCGGAAAGACGCGAGCAGGTTGGGCAACGATAGCAGTGGCTGTGTAAGAAAGAACAGCATGTTGTCCGCGGCTACTCTGTATTCATTGTGACCAACGCTGAATCCTGTGATTCCCCCGTTCTGTCTGACCGCCCCCAGGAACGGTTCCAGGGAGAGGGCAAACAGGAGGGGGGGACAGTTACAGATGGCGGGTGCCGTTACAGATCAGGAAAGGGGTAGACAATGCCACATTAATGCGGATCCGAGCCGTGGGACTCGTGTACAGGGAGAGCACCCACGACAGCATGTGTGGACCGAATCCCATGTATGCGAGTGTGTTCTCCAGATATTTCCAGTCTACCCGGTCAAAAGCCTTTTCAGCGTCCGTTGACAGTAGCAGTAGTTCCTTTCGACGCGTCCGCGCTATGTGTAAGATGTTTAGCGCTTTGATTGTGTTATCCCTTCCTTCTCTACCGGGGATGAACCCGACCTGGTTTGAGTGTACCAGGTGGGGGAGGTGTTTCGCGACTCTCAGGGCAATGGTTTTAGCAAATAGCTTCAGGTCCGCGTTCAGCAGTGATATGGGGCGGTAGCTCGTATAGTTCGTCGGGTCCTTGCCCTCCTTAGGTATTACCGTGACAATGGCCGCCAGAGTGTCCGTGGGGAAACGGCCCCCTTCTAGTATGGAGTTAAGCCCTCGCAGGAGGTTCGGTAATAAAATGTCTCCGAATGTGCGCAAGTATATCGAGGGGAGGCCGTCTGGCCCTGGGGCTCTGTGGGTTTTGGAGAGTTTTAGCGCCGCTACTAGTTCCTCTACGGAGATGGGGAGTTCTAGGTCTTCCTTCATTTCGGGGGTTAGCTTCATGTCAACGTTTCATTCTAATAATTCCGAAATTCGGTTAAGACGCTGTGTTTGGGCTGTGTCTGTAGTGGGCTGGGGGATGTTGTATAGGTCTGTGTAGAATTCTCTGAACGCTCGCTGGATTCCGTCTGGCAGCCGTGTTTCTGCTTTATTTTATGTATGTGGCTCGCAGAGCTGGCGGGCAAGCAGTCTGCCGCTTTTGTCTGAGTGTTCGTGAAAGAACCTGGCAGATTTTCTAAGGGTGCGTAAGAGTCCCTGCGCTAGTATGTCCCGTCTCTTTCTTCTAAGCTCCGTCAATTGGAGAAACATGCCCTCGTCCAGGCTTTGTTTGTGTGTCTGCTCCAGTTTGGAGATTTGTGCGTTTAGCGTGGCTAGCAGTCCTGTGTGTTCTTTTTTCCATTGTGTGCAGATCTTAATATAGTGTCCCCGAATGACACATTTATGTTCCTCCCAGACGGTCAGGGGCAGTGTGTCCGGGGTGTTGTTGGTTTCAAAGTATTGTGTCAATGTTTGTCTGACTGGCTCTGTGTCTTCTAGTTTGAGTAGCAAGTTCTCGTTTAACTTCCATTGTCTTTCCGCCAGTTTGTGTAGGGGGGATTGGATCTGGACTATGATCGGTGCGTGATCCGACTCTGCTATCTGACCTATGCTTGCCCGGCGGAGCAGGGGTAGGGCTTCTTGTGCTAAAAAGATGTAATCAGTTTGACTGTAGCGCTGGTGCACAGCCGAGTAGTAGGAATAGTCCCTGCCTTCCGGGTTCGCCGCCCTCTAGCAATCTACTATGCCACTCCTCATCAGGGCTCTCTCCGTGGAGCGTATTCAATTACCTGGTATAGAGCATTTCCCCTTAGAGGTATCCAGCCTAGCGTCCAGTGGTGTGTTAAGATCTCCAGCGACCACCAGGAGGCCGTCTCTGAATTTATTTAGTAGTGTGAGTGTCTTATTTAGGAAGACGTGTTGGTTTCGGTTTGGAGAATACAAGCAGGCAAATGTGTATGTGTGTTGTGCAATGGTCCCCTTAATAAAGTATCTGCCCCCTGGGTCCGCCCATTGTTCTGCGCATACGAACGGGAGCTTGTGTGAGAATAGGATAGCGACTTCAGCTTTTTTCTGTCAGGGTGGTTCGCGTAGAACCCCATGGGGAAGCGCACGTTTTTCAAGGAGGGGGGATCTGCGCCTTTAAGGTGCGTTTCCTGCAGGAACGCCACTGAGACGCGCTCCGCCGATAGGGCATGGAGTATTTGGGTTCGCTTCTCAGGGACGTTCAGGCCTCGTACATTGTTTGACCACAGGGTGAGCGGCGCTAGCTCGTATTTGGAGCCCATCTCTGTCTGTGCTCGGCTTGGGTTGTGGGTGTGGGGGTGTGTCGCGTGGGTTAGGGTGTTAGGGGTGGGCGGGGTTCAGTCAGTTCGTTGTCAGGGGTAGGGATGTCGGTCTGAAAAGAAGGTAACTTTGACTCGCTTCGGAGTCTGTCACCCACCGGTGTCCAGTCCCCTCGGGGTGTGTCACCGGAGTAGCCTCCGAGTATATGTACAGTGTGAGTCCGTCACTTGGGGTTGGTGGGTCATTCGGTCTGGAGCAGTCGGTCATATATATCGCACTGCTCTCTCGGCACCCAGCCCACTAGTCGGGCCTATTGGGAGTTTACCCCCGGCATGGGGATGTTTTGCAGTAGAGCCTCCCCCTGTCCGCCACTATGCTCTCGTGGGGCCATGGGTGTCTGGGGTCACTCCAGTGTAAGCCCGGTAGTTTGTCCGGTCCCCTAGTATGGTATAGGACTTGATCCCCCCCAGGTCCCTCCCTCTGGTCGGGTCCCTTCTGTCCCAGGCTCGCTCCTGGGTTTCCCACCCTCATGTGTATGCGTGTGAACATGCAGGTGTATTGGGGAACTGGAAAAAACATTGTAAACATTACAAACATTACTAACCAATCTGCATTCTTAAACTTTCCCTTTACTCCCTCCCCCATATTCCGATCCTCTCCCCCCCGGTCACCGTCAAGAGGCGTGTTGGCATAAAAAGCCAGCGTACTGGCTAACCCCTCCATGGTTGGGGAGGGTCCGAGCTGTGGGGCCCCTAGGGTGTGCACAGAACATCATAGCTCTTGGCAGGGGGATCGCCTCGGATAGTTGCATCTACTAAAGCCTCCTAGGATCCCAACCACCCAAAAGGGGAGTCGATGGCCAGTGAGTCTGTCCCGGCTCGGGGTATGTCCATTGTGGCGAAACCGACCTCGCCACTGGGCATTGGAGAAGACTGATTGCCAGCCTCCTGCCATGTGACTATGGCCCCTGGGATGTATTGCCCTTTAAAGACATGATTTGGGCATAAGGGATTTGTGTTGTGCTGCTGCTGGCCCTTTAAGAACCATCTGGGGACATACTGTGGAGTTACTGGGTGGCCACCATTTCCTGTATCAGAGGCACATGGTGAGAACAATGGATGAAGCACATGGTGAGAACAATGGGTGGCGGCCAGTTTAACTCACAGACCCTGTTGGACTTTTCAACATGGTGCCATCTCGCCAGTATTTGGTGCACAGAGACATTGTGCAGTGGTATTGGACTATACAGCAGGGGACACATTATACAGTGATTGTTTTTCATTTAGCCTGTATATGTTCTGCAGAATCTGCATTAAACTGTATCTTCCAAAGTACTGAACGGATCTGGGTGAATTTCGGATATGTGGTTCACCCAGATCCCCCGGTTCCAAGGTTTATGGGGTTATTGCATGTTTTGGGGTCCCTGTGATGTGTTTTATGAAACTGTATTTCTCTGTCTGTGATAATTAGATTACCCATTTTGCAAGGTAATTGTATTACAGGCAGAGGGGAGGATTTTGTGTGGGAGTGTCTGTGTGTATTGTACAGATTGATTGGTTGTTCTGTAAAACCCTGTAGGCAGTACTAAGTTTGTGGATTGGGAATAAAAGAGGCTGTATGTGCCAGTACAGTCAGTTCCTGCTTAACCCTCAAAGTGAAGTGTCGTCTCAGTATTGAAGGATTTATTGTATGCTGTTCCAGTTTGACTGCTAGGAGTCTAAACCCATCCGTATGGTTTTTGCCTATTCAGCTGTTTATAGCATTCATATGCTTGACAGATTCATATGCTTCTCCGATTCGGTGGTTGTGGTGCCTGCTGCAGTGCTTGGAGTCCTCAGGAAGCGCTAGGAGCATCCTTCAAAGGGGTGCCAGGTGATCCGTTACATCCATCTTTTAGCTTTCCCAAGTGTCTCCTTTCCTGTTCAATCCCCCCTCCCCATGGGTTTAGTGCCCCGCTTGCCCATTCTCTCGAAATTCTGGCTTGGGTCTATGTGCTACGGGCCTGGGACGGGGGATCAAGTACATACCCAACGAAGCATTGGCGTTTCCGATGGTGTGGACAGTTCGCTGCCCATGGTGGTTTTCTCCAGGGGGAGCATCTGGGGTGCCATGATTTGGTCTATCCTTTGCGCTGTACACTGTTGTTCTGGGGAGGTACAAGGATTTGCCGTGGTGTTGTCTAGCCGTCTGTGGGACCCCCAGGGGTTGTCCGGGCCGCCCCGTCGGTGTCCCACTCCCGAGTGGCCTGCTCCTGGCCTCTCGCTTGGTTCATGTGGGCGCTGTGGCTGCCTCTCCAGGACCCAATTTGAGACTGCAACTGCTGGGAGGCCTGCAGCCCGTAGAAAACGCGGGACATCAGCAGGCCAACGTATGATGTGCCAGGTGTTGCCCACTTTAGCTTGCAGGCTGAAGGGAAATCCCCACTTGTATAGTATGCGTCGGTCCCTGAGCAGGGTGGTTAACGAGCGTAGCGCCCTTCTTGCTTCCAGAGTGAGCATTGAAAGATTTTGGAACAAGGAGATCTGGGCATCCATATAAGTGAGGTTCTGCTGGTTCCTTGCTTCCCTCATGATTTCATCTTTTACTGCGTAGGAGAGCAGGCAACAAATTTTGTCCCTTGGGGGTCCGTCCGCAGTCACGGGTTGCAGGGCCCTGTGGGCGCGTTCTAGTCCGAATTCCTTCGGTGCTCTGACCCCCAGGATGTGGGTGAACAGGCCCGGCAGGAGCTCCGACAGCACCTCCCCAGAGGTCTCAGGGAGGCCCCGTATGTGGATATTATTTCTCCGCCCGCGGTTATCCAGGTCCTCCAGGTGCCTCCTGAGTTCAAGTAACACATTGCCTTGTCTGGTAGTGGCCGTATCTGTGGCTTGTTGGTGCTATAAATTTTGGGCCCGGTCAGCCTCCAGGTACTCCACTCTGCGTTCTAGGACTGTCAGATCCCTCCTCACCTCCATGACCTCCTCTCTGATCGCTGTCCTTTTTTCGGCCAGCATCTCCGTCTTGTCCGTGCGGGACAGCATATTGGCAGAGATTGTGGCCAGGTATGCTGCTATTTGGGTGAGGGATTCGCCCCTGCCTGGGCCCTGTGTCAGGCTGTCGTTGCTGCTTACGTCTGGGGATGCCGGCGCCATTTTGGCCGCGGCCTGTGCGGTTCGCGTGTCTCGCGGCTTGCCGAGGTACCCGTCCATGGGACCCGAAGTGCGACCCGTCGAGCCCGTTTGTAAGTGGCCCGGGTGTTGGGCCTTTTAGTTTTCCCCATCCCGGGTTGTTTTGTACTGGTGTATTGGTGCTTTTTTCGTGAGATGGGGCCTAGGAGCTGCAAGGAGATGCGCCCTACTCCATACCCGGTCAGGCCACGCCCCCCTAAATATTAATTTTAATAGTTTATCCAAAAATATTAAATCACTTGAACAGCTTATTCAAAAATATTAAATCGGGATCTTAAAGGAACACTGTATTCCTGACCCTATAATGTTAAAACCAGCATTTAGGTGGCTTGGTCCCCTTAATCCCCTTATAAATGGTTAAAACGTATCGTAATGACCTCAGCAAATCCAATGCGTTCCCTTGGATTAGCAGAGATTATCAAGGAGGTAGACCAAATGGTGGCCTGGCCAATCAGCATCTCCTCGTAAACATACATTGAATCAATGTATCTCTATGGGGAAAGTTTGGTATCTTCATACAGAGCGTGGAGACGCTGAACAATGTGCAGGGACACCACTGGAGGTGTCCCTAGACGTTAATATAAACACTGCCTTTTCTTTGAAAAGACAATGTTTACAGCAAAAGAACCTGCAGGGACTGACTATACTCACCAGAATAACTACATGAAACTGTGGTTGTTCTTGTGGCTGTAGTGTCCCTTGAATGAAAACCTTTTTAGACTAACCCTTCTTTGCTAAAGGACCCCTCCAGACCCATGATGCACTTCAGCTTGCTGAAATGCTTTAAAGGTGAGGAGTATCCCATTAAAAAGCACTTTATAAAATGTACCATTATTAAATAATGATCCCTGTCTTCAATGAGAAGCCTCTGATTGGCCATTTCTCCATGAAGGGACTCTTGCGGTGATAAAGTGGAAGGCTTGCAAAGACTTCTGTTCATAAGACCTGCAGCGTTTGCAAGCTTGTTTTAGATAGAAGCCAATGAATACATGTATGAAAAAAGCAAGCATATATTTATTGGGGTGTATCTTCTAAACAGTGATTTTTTGTTTTACAGTTTTAGCTGTGGAGTGGTCCTTTAACCCTAGCCGCAATGCCGCAATTGGGGCGAAGGGGGCATTAATGAGAGCATCGTGCAGGTTAGCAGATTTGTGGCGATGAGAACAGATAATCATTCCTTTAAATAACACACTAGAGAATATATTGTATTAAATGGTTAATTCTAGGATGAAGTCCCTAACTGAAGCAGAGAGATATCATTGCCCTCACTCAGTGGGATCTGCTATTAAACATAACAACAGGACCAGATTGCATTGGAAATCTATGCTGTTGACTGCGAGGCATTGAGAAATATCTAGTCAAGGAAATGGATATCACACACTCTGAGAGATTAGATTAACCCTCTGCCTTGCCCCGTTGCAGGTTCAATCTACTTCTTGCTTTCATGCAAATCTAACTCCACGCTTAACTGGATCTGGTTTAGACAGTCCAATTTTGCAGAAGATGTATTGGTTCTTTATACCAAAACAAGTGTAAACGGAGGATTTTGATAATGAAATACATTGTACTTCGTATAATAATTTACACATGTATTTATACACATAAGAGGTATCCTTTGGAGCTATATCACCAACTACCTACAGACACATACATTGTGCCTGTGATTAAAGTGTGTGCACAAGATAACTCTAATGAGTCCAAATAGATTTTTTTATTGTTTCCCAGAAATACTTGAGTATTAGAGAAAGATAAGTTCTTTTTTTTTTTGAGTTTTAAAAGTTTTATTGAATGATATTCAAAATTACAGCATTTGTTTTGCAGTAAGACAATAATGT